GAGGCGAGACTCATTACCAGAGAGGAGTGGTATGGAAGACAAGAACCAGGGCATGGCAACAGATATAAAAAACACCTCCATGTTTTGGGAAATAAAAAAACAGTAGGACATGGCTACTGCTTTGCATATGGGGTTGCACCTATCAAATTAACTCCAATTAGAACATGCATACTTGTCATGTTTTGCATTTCTCGTACCAGGGATTTAATTCTTTTAAAATTCAATTCTGTTGAAATTTTACTCCAAGAAGCAATGCGTTTTTGAGAGCTAATCCTGATATATTCAAATCTCAATGACTTCAGTTTATGGAGTGAACTTCTTTTAAATTAGTGATTCCCTGATTTGCCTGACTGTTGGAATTTCCAGGGCATGTTGAAAATACAGATTATCAGACTCTTAACTCTGCAGATGTATTTAGTGATTCTCAAATGGCACCCAGGAATCTGGATTTTTCCCAGGGGCCCTGTGTAATTCATATTTATGAGCAGGCAAGTTTGGGAAAGAGGGCCTTAAGGAACTTTTTCACTGAGCAGTCTTCATTTGAAATTAGGACCATTTATCTTCTTTATCTCTATGCTCCCTCTTTCTCCTGCTCTCCTTGCCTCCTGTTGTCTTTCAGTTCTTAGAAGTTTTAATTAAAAGTTCCTAGTAGATCTGTACCTACTAAAAACCACACTTCTGAGGCTACACGGTCACCAGAAGACACAGCTAATCTGCCATGTAAAAAAGGAGAGGCGGCATGTGCACTGAGGGTGCAGGTGTGAGAGGCAGGGGAATGGAGGCCCCCACAGCCAGCAGCAGTGGCCCTTATCACAGCCCTCTGGGAGATATGAAAGGAGGTCAGATGTTGGAAAGTAGTCTTTTTTGCCTTCGTGCTATAGAACACGTTGTTAACACTAAAAAAGCTGATCTCTTCTAGGGGAATGGTGAAAGCTGATTCTAGCACTTGTGCTTTTAATTTCAGGACGGCACAGCTTCAAAATATTTAAGTAGCTAAATAAAAATGAAAATTCTGTGTACTTTTATATTAGCAGGCTTTAAATTACAAACCAGAATAAGGTTAAATTGTTTCTTAACCAAACTGAGTAATTTTCACAATGGCAGGCCATTGTCAGGACATTCAGCATCTGGCTCATGTTTGAGCCAGGCTAAGTGCTCTGTAAAAGTCTTGAGGGAAATAAAGAGGCCAATTCTCCATAAGCATTATGCTCAGAAATACCCTGCTTCCCACTGGAAAGTTTAAGTTGACCTTGAAGCCACCTTCACCAAACCAAGGTTGGTCAACACTTTTCACCACTGCCACTGGACACTTTACTTCCAATTTTGTTTCCTGCTCTACAAAGATATCCCCTTCCTTCCTTTCCCACATTCTCTCTACAACCTTGTCTTCTTTTGAGTTCATCTGCTCTCCCTTATCATTGTCTATCTCTGCTTCCTAAAACTTCATATAGTACAGAAATTGGCCCATCAAGATTATCATGCGGAAGAGCATCCATTTACTGAATAAGGCAGCTGGCTCCTGGGGGCAGAAAGGTGATTAGACCTGCGATAAAAATTATCATCCCTGTTCTTCTGGACTCACTGTCCAGTGGGGAGTAAGACACATAAGCAAATACAACTTGATAACTACAACAATCAAGAGAATGACATAATCTAGCCTGGAGAAAGAGAGAGCAAACGTTATCATAAGGCAGTGTGTCCACTACTTACTCTCTAACAGATTTCCTGATAAACTACAAGGCTTGCCCACTTCTTGCATAAGAAAATTGAGGGGATCAGGGGAGGGGAAATACATATGCCTCTTGGTATTTCATTCAGTAAATACACAAATAATTAAACTATTAATGATATAATCATGTTGCTTCAATAAGTTTGAATCCAAAATTGATAGTAATCTTTAGAAGAAATTGTGTATGTGTGTATATGTGAACACACATAGACATATACATACTGCTTTCTGAAATTTTAAATGACTTTATGCTTCTTCTGAAGCAATTCAAGGTTAGAATTTGAGACCCATGGGTTCAAAACATCTTCTTGAGTATACTGGAGGACATTTAGATTAATTTCAGACATGCATTTTGGTTTATGTAGTGTTTTTTATCCATGCTAACTTATTTACTGTTTTAAAAACAAATTGAGAACAAACAACAGCAGCAACCCTGAATTGACTGTTTAAGTCCTAAGAATGGCTTGGCCCAACCAGTGGATGTGCATGTTTATTACACTAATCTCCTCTGAACCTAGGAAGTGGCTGGATGAGCTGCAGATGGTCTAGATGTATTATAAATGATATTTTATTTTTATTTGTTTTATTTATTTATTTATTTTCAGACAGGGTCTCTGTCACCCAGGCTGGAGTATGGTGGCACAATTATGGCTCATTGGAGCCTCCAACTCCCAAGCTCAAGCAATCCTTTTCCCTCAGCCTCCTGAGTAGCTGGAACTACAGGTGGACGCCATCATGCCCCACTAATTTTTTAAAACTTTTTTGTAGAGGCCGGGTGTTATTATGTTGCCCAGGCTGGTCTCAAACTTCTGGACTCTAATGATCCTTCTTCCTCAGCCTCCCAAAGTGCTGGGATTACAGGTTTGAGTCACCGCACTGGGCCAGAAATGACATTTTAAAACTATTACCGACAAAGATGTATGCTCACTGGTTGTTTTATTAAAAAATAACAATGACTTAGGTTTATTGGCTCATTTTGTTTTATCAAAGAGCTTAAATGCAGTTTTGAATATTCCTGTTTACCCTCATGATAATTTAGAATGAGTATAATTATTGCCATTTTCACAAGTACAGTTGGAACGAGATAATTTATATTCTTGTTTATCCTCATTAGAATTTAGAATGAGTATAATTATTGCCATTTTCACAAGTACAATTGGAATGAGAAGATAAAACAGTGGAGGACAGGTGTAGCTGAGAGTAGCAGAGGCAAGTCATCTATAGAATATTAAAATTTCTTGCATGCGTGCTGTCAGAAATCTACAAAACCAAAATTTTCTAAGACAAGCAAACTCACCAAGCTTTATAAGGCCCCTATCCCCCAAGTATTATCCTTTCCGTGTACCCCAGCATTAATTACAGCAACTGGTACTGGCCATGTGACATACATTCCCAGCACATTTTTGGGCTCTGATGTTTTCTAGGATTTTTTTCTTCATAGCCTTATTGAAATTAAGCTCTATTCCCTCAAGACCTGGTTTTCTTAAACTACATATTTTTGCAGGTGAGAGAAAAATGGTCTCAGGTCAGTCAATCCACTGTATGAAATGAGATAGTGGTAGGATTATTGTTAAGATGGAGAGGTGTCCGCATCATCCTGTATTCTTTCCCAGCCCCCAGGTGACCATATAATTAAAATACCCTAGATATTTCTATGTAGTGGAAGTTGTTTTTAATTCTAGAACCCCTCAATCTTTCTCTATTCAATTTAAATGAAAAGCTATTTGAGTATCCAGAACACACTCAGCACTAATAGAAGCAAAGCAAGAAAAATGGAAACATTATAGTCAAGGCCCATGTTCTAACTCAGGATCAAATGAGGCATTAAAATTGAAAGTTGTGATTCTGAATACGTCTTAACATCATGTACATCTTAGTGGCTCAAAAATTTGTCATGTCAGCCAAGTGGTAACTGAAGATTTTCTACAATCAAAATAGTATAGTTCTGTGGAAATAGATGTACCACATTGATTAGAAAAATCACACTAGCATATTTCGGCAGCTTAATTTTTAAAAAGCTATATTATATCAATAATTTAACCACATAGACCTGTTAACTAGAAGAATGTTACATATATAATTGACAATACTTTTGTTGCTTTCTTAGAGAGGTGTAGATAGACTTTGGGGTTATCAAGTGGTTCTGACATATTTTTAAGAAAGATTAGGCTGATGCTATGTAACTTTGTTATTCATGATACACATTATCTTGTAAATAGGAGTAGTCAATAATCGTGATTTTGAAGCTATTTCAGAGCACTATAATCACCCCACTTGACAGACTTCAGAATTTACTGGAAATCTCTGGAGATAATTATCAAATTATTAGCATAGACTTTAAACAGATCTTCAAAAATGCATTACATAGGTTTGCTAAAACAGATTGTAAGTCTGCCAAAAGTAGTCGCTTTGATTTGATTTGCATTCAGTGAAATTTTTAAAATTTAAAGCTAAAGGCTTCAGGATTACTACATCAGATTTTTATCGGACAACACTGAGTAGGGCTGCCACTGAAGCACCTTGGATGAGAGCCTCTAAGGCCCTGAACACAGCATTCAGCACACTACTGGGAGAATGACTGGGACTCAAATATGTGTTCAATGAATGTACTTATGAGCTTGCTGGAGAGGAAGTAAAAATAACCTCTAATATAGTACTACTAAACCTCTATTTTAGTACTACTACAATAAAGTAGTAATCAATACTGATAAAGTAGCAGTAGAGCTAAAGTAGTACTAATAAAGTAGTACTAATAGCCCTATACTATTATTCGTAATAAAGTAGTATTGCTATTGATTCTATCAGTCTATCTACCTACCTGCCTGCCTGCCTACCTACCTACCTACCTATCTGTTTGGATGGGAGGGCATAGGATAAGATTGGGCTTAGCAGTGGAGAGCAAAGGGCTCGTGCATGCTTTGAACAGGTACACACTCAACCTTGGTATCATGTGACTGTTCTGAATTCCAGAACCGAGGCCAAAAGGTGGAAGTTTTGTTTGATTGTGTCTCACATTTTCCTTTTGGTTTATTGTCTAACATACGTTACTAGAATTCTCTTTATTCTGACTACCTTTTAGGTGGTTAGACGATGCTATTATTGAAGAGATTGCACCCAAGCTGATCAGAGATTGGCCCAATATTTACACCTACACCAAGGCCTTGGGAGAAATGGTGGTGCAGCAAGAGAGCAGGAACCTGAACATTGCCATCATAAGGCCCTCCATTGTGGGAGCAACTTGGCAGGAGCCTTTCCCAGTAAGCCCACTCACCTGGATTCTGTGTTTTGCTTCCAAACTAAGGTTCTTCTAGCCCAATTACTTTCTGATGTCTTTCTTCTTCTCCTCCTCAGGATTTATAGCTAAGTGCAGCCGATCGAATATGAACTAGGGCAAAATTCCACTTTGGTTTCCAGCATGTGGCTCCTCTGGCAGTTACCTTGACTGTCCTAGAGTTGGATGGAGAGCTTAAATTAGCTTCTAATTACTCTAGTCTCAAAATTCCCATGGGTGATGGTTTCATATCTTGGCTTTCTTACTATAGTTTAAGCATACCAGAATGTCCTTAGTGGCCAAATTGGTAGTATTATAACTGCCAGGGTAAACAAGAGTTTCAAAGCTCACAGAAGGATCTCAGTTTAGGAATACTAATTTTTTTAAACCTCAGCATACTGCCATGACCTTTTGAAAGTACTTTGAATTACATCATCTTCTTCAAAGCAAATCTGTGAGGCTTTGGGGTAAATTCCAGCTCCACTACTTACTGGTAATGCAATGTTTTTGAGTTGTCCCTTCCATAAAACAGGACAGATACTACTTTGGAGAGTTGATTTAATGAGACAATGTATGAGGAGTGCTCAGTCTCAAGTAAAAGCCTGGTCCCTACTAAAAGGCTCAACAAATATTAATCCCTTCATCTTCTCCTCTCTTCTCTCTCCTCTCCCATTATACACACACATTTGACTTTTATACTGTAATGTAAAGAGACATAATAAGGTCAGCTGAATGGCTTAGGTCTTAAGAAACAAACTTAAAAACACATTTCCCTCTAGCTGCTCTTAAACATAATCTTTCTGTAACATCTTTAAGCAAGTCAATACACATACAGAAACACACACACACACACACGTATATATATCTGTCATGGACTCTATAGCTGGTAAAAAATGTCAAAAATGGGCCATTAACACAAATCATGTTTTCAATGTTCTCCTAAGGAGGCTGAAATCAGGACTAAGGTGGAGAAGGATGGTTGGTGAATTGCTTAGCAGATCATGATATAAGGACAAGGTCCATAAGAGGTCATAAAACACCAGAAAACCATTCATGGCTCCTGCTAAGAAAAACAATCCTGGCAAAATTCTAATTTTTGCACAGTCAAATAAAGTACAGAAAATGGCCAGTGATTTGCCTTTATCTTTTGAGATCTAAATAATACTGAATTAGATAGTTCTATTGGCTGGGATCTCAGTGCTCTTGTTTGAAATTTATTAAGATTAGACTGCAGATGTTCCAAAGATAAAACAATTTTCTGAAATGTGTAACCAACAGAAATCTTCTTTCTTTTAGGGTTGGGTTGATAATATAAATGGACCTAATGGACTAATTATTGCGGTATGTATAACAATGAAGAAATAACTCCCTGAAATGTAGTAGAGGAAGAGTAACAAAATTCTTAGTGCTGACTTAGCTTCATTGATCCAAAAATATAAATGCTACTTTACTAATAATTGAGGCACATTATTTTAATTGTTCTAATTGTAATATAGAGGCAGGATGAAATTATTTTATTCTTTGAGAATTTTTTATCAGAAAAACAGAGGTAATGTGCTATCAGTTACTATTTAGGAGTTTTATTTTTGAAGTCTTTGAGCATCAGGACTTTTCTTTAGTTACCACAAGATGGGGGTATTTCCCCCTTTTTGCCGTTTATAATCACATGAATTAGTGCAGTGAATTGAGGATGCAGTAAAAATATCTTCAAAGATTATTAAATTCTTGATTATAAAACACATGTAAGAGTTTATGTGTGTGTATAGAAAAGAGATATACATCAATAATTCTTAATGAATACAAGAAAGAGAACTACCAATTGCAGCAAATTTTTCAAATACAAAAATCCATGAATATAGGCAACACCTTTTCAATAATCTCTTACCAGGAGAAACGTGGCTCCTCTAGGTAAGCAGCCCTCAGTGCGCATCTCCCCGAAGTCCAGATTGATCCAGCCAAGCTGTGGGACTTCACAGCTCACACTGAAGCATTTAGGGTCTAAACCCCACTTCACTGTTTTGTACAATGAATAGGAAATCAGTGATCTAAATGCGTTTAAATCTTATTAGGGATTTAGACTGCGCTTCAGACTCTATCTCTGTTCCTCCCAGAACTAGGGTCAACATGAATTGCAATATGAATATGAGACAGTGAATTATAACAGTGACAAAGATCTTCCTTCCGATGTCTGATTTTTCAAGCAGCCCTTTTCTTTCTGTTTCCCATCTGCCTTCAACTCTTTCTTCTACAAAAGTTCAGTTGGGGTGAACATTTAGTGACTTAGAACATCATTATTTTAACATGATCCCAAAGCGGGTTTCATTATATGCAAAGCTGCATATTTATTTACATTTTCTAAAATGTTCTAGATTGGTTTCTTATGTTCGAAAGAAGGGGAGCTAGTTATAAGACAACAGAACTGAGTAACATAAGAAAGTGCTAATCATTGCAAATCAATGTTGGAAACATGCAAAGCGCAAAGAATCAATTTCATAAACTCAACAAATTATTGACATGAATAATTCCTAATTCTTGCATCTATGTAACATCAGTGATCTGTGAGGTGAACTAAGATGCTGAATAAAAAGTAAATAATAAGGCAATTTTTCCAAGCCAAAAAAAAAGTTTTATTTTATTAATGGTGGAATTTCGCCAATTAATGTTTTTCAAATAAATGTTTCTTAAACTTTTAGTGCCTACTATTGCTTGTAAGCTAATAAACCCTAGCAGAAAACAAAATCATCAAGGAAATGGTAAACAAATATTAATGGGAAAGTTAATGGGAAATTTGTATAACCTTAATTCTTAACATGTTTTATGAATTTTTAAGATGTAAAAGTTTATTCTTGGTGTTTGTTAATTGAGTTTATTAACCTCTCACAAATTCGAGGAATTTTATTTCCTGAAGGAACGTGAGGAACACTAGTAGTTCATGGAAATGCTGGAGATGCGCTTGGCTGGGAAGGTAGGATAGACTGAGGAAGTCAGACTTAGCATAAGAACCTGGTAAGCAGTGGATCAATGTTAGCTGTTTTCACGTACTGCACTAGTATAATCAGTTTGATGATACATACTTTAGCCCCAGCTATTATTTAAGACCTGGATTAACATTTTATGTTCTTTTTCCTATGCAGGCTGGGAAAGGGTTTCTTCGGGCCTTAAAAGCTACTCCAAAGGCAGTGGCAGACTTAATTCCAGTTGATACAGTCGTCAATCTCATGCTAGCTGTAGGATGGTATACTGCAGTTCACAGGTGTGGATGCTCAAGTGGGCTTTCAAAGGTTTCAAGAGGGGCAGAGTGAATATATTAGGCCCATTTTCCAAATATAGACATTTCATTGTACAAGACCCCAAATGTGTGAAAGTGTGTATTTCAATATTTTATGGAGTTCCTAATATGCCATCATATATGCATTTCGTTGTTTTATAAATACAGTTTAGAACTTGGCTACCCATAAAGTAATAAAACCTTTAAATCACTTAACTATAAAATTCTTGATAACCAAAAGGCTTTTCTTTCTATTCAGTAGTCTAAAATTCAGCTTTCTCTTTTAGGGCAAAGGAGATAGAAATTGATGAAATGAGAGAATATATTTTTTAATTGAACTCTGGTAAATGCCAAAAGTTCAGTCACGGTGTGTGGGGAAGCTTCCTGGTACGAAGGAAAAAAAAAATAGGTTATTCATATATTTGGGTGTGTTAGTGAATGGTAAACAGAATTAAATTTTTCTTATGTGAATTCACACATATGTGCTCCATACTATGTCACTCCTATTTAACATCTCTTTCACACACACACACACACACACACACACACACACACACACATGCTTTTCCTAGTCTTCTTCCATTTTGCTTGTTAACCCAGAGAAAGAATGAACGATGGAAGCCTTTCATAGGTTGCCTGAATCAGATGAGTTACTGAAACCAATCTGTCTAAATATTATTTTTCCTTATTTTTTCTTTCATTAGCTTTCCATTTTGTTGTACTTATCTAATTTTTATTTCATTTTCCAGACCTAAGTCAACATTAGTCTACCACAGTACATCTGGTAACCTCAATCCCTGCAATTGGCACAAAATGGGTAAGTGCTTTAGCCATGTAAGTCTATAATTACTAGCATCTGGCATAGAGAAAAAATCGACAAAGTGTGTCATGGAGCTTAGAGCCTATACGGGGAGAAAGACAAAAAGTAAGTAAAGACACAAAATAATGAGATATTGTAAATGTGTGGTAGTTAACTAGAATGTACTGTGGTTACCAAAGAAAGGAGTCAGTGGCAACGTGTGCATGATTGTAAGCAGTAAGGGGTCCACTGGCTATAAAGATTTTAAAAACAATGAAACAAAGCAAAAGTTGGCAGTTACAAAGAATGTCAGTGACAAAATACTGAAATACTCCTCCCTGCTGGAGCAGTGGCTCCTACACACACCCCTTCCCTTCTTGATATGTCACTGAGAATGCGACGTGATCAATGACCAATGAGATTTAGAAAAGTCAGGTGATGTTATTCCTTTGTTATTGAGCCATCATACTGATCATTAATTTATGCAGCTTGCCTCTCAGGTGTGCAATAACCACTCCACTAGCGATTTGTAAAAGTGAATGGGAATCACTATGGGAGAAATAAAAACGACACCCAGATTCCTTGAACCCTTGCGACCACGGTCTTGGGTGGTGCTGAGGAGACTATATTTTTAATAAGCATCTAGATGATTCTTCATGCTTGGTGAAATGGATAAACCCTGTACTATACAAATAATTGATTTGTCTGAATGTAAAGGACTGGATCTGTTCAATGTATAAAACCATGGAAATAGAGTTGAGTACAACTTAAACATCTAATGATGGTAGAAAGTTAAAAGTAGGGAGTTTGGCTATTCTGTAGGATTTCCTAGTGCCTACTAATGCACACTTTCTTTCCCTGTTACATAGGTAACACTACCTCTACACATTCCAGTGGTAAGCCATGGTGCTGCACTGAGAGTTCTATTGTAGGGCAGCTAGACACTGTGGCTCATTTTGTAATAGGCTTTGAATTGAAAAATCTTTTCCAAGAATGAAAAATGCCTGGCATGCATGTATTTTTCTCTACTCCTCTTAAACCTATAGCAAACATTGTTGGCTGATACAACATTGTTTCTCCCTGTGCCAAGGCTCTATTCTAGATTCCCATCTAATACAGCATTTCTGAAAGCTATTACTAATTAATTTGATGTTGCATTCAAATTAAATTCATTTGTGTTTCCTATCAGGGCTCTTAGGAGGGATCAAAATGCTTCCTACTAGGAGCAGTAGCCATGCCACAGGAGGTTCAACATACATAGCCTCAGGTGACATTACAAGGAGTGATAGACAGCTGGGTCGGTGAACATGGGATATCAGAATCTCTTATGCTGTCAACCTGGGCATAACTTTTGGTTATGCATAGAACCAAATGTTTTAATAATGCCACATATCTTTTAATAAATGTCTATGAACCGGTGATTCTTGAGACTCTTCAAATTTTAAACTATCCTGCCATTTTTAGGATAAACCCAAGTGGGTCACAGCATGTTATCTTTTATATATTCTGTTTAATTCAGTTTGCTGATAATATATTTCCCTTGTTGTTTTCTATTCTCTGAAAGTGTTTGTGTAAATATTGGAGCAATCTATTCCTTGGAAACTTGGTAAAATTACCTATAAATTATCTGGATTTGTAATTTTGTTGTGAGAGGATTTTTTATTGCCTCAATAGTTAAAGAATTTTGCAGGCTTTCAGTTTCTACTGGAATCAGTTTGAGTAAATTATATTTGGCTCTTTTTCTAAGCATTTGTCTGTTTTAAAACGTATTCCCATAAAATTTTTCATATTATATCAATTTTTTTGTCCTAAACTGTATCTGTAATTATGTTTCTAATTCATAATATTTATGTGTCTTCTCCAAAGGGTTTATTACTTCTTTTTTCAAAGAACCAACTTCTTCTGGCTTTATTGATTCTTTATTATGTTGCTTCGTTTTCTACTGCATTGATACATATTGATATGTTGCCTTATCTCTATTTTCCCCTTCCTCCTGTTTTCTTTGATTATTTCTTTCTTCTTTTTTTTTTGAGACGGAGTCTCGCTCTGTCGCCCAGGCTGGAGTGCAGTGGCGCGATCTCGGCTCACTGCAAGCTCCGCCTCCCGGGTTCACGCCATTCTCCTGCCTCAGTCTCGCGAGTAGCTAGGACTACAGGCGCCCGCCACCAAGCCCGGCTAGTTTTTTTTTTTTTTTGTATTTTTCATAGAGACGGGGTTTCACTGTGTTAACCAGGATGGTCTTGATCTGACCTCGTGATATGCCCGCCTTGGCCTCCCAAAGTGCTGGGATTACAGGCGTGAGCCACCGCGCCCGGCCTCTTCTCTTTAATTTAGAAATACAGCTCACGAATATTCAGCTTTTCTAATACATGCATTTATGGCTTTATATGTCGCTCAAATGCCACTTTGGCTGTATCCCACACGTGTAGTTGTATGGTGTTGATGTTATCATTACTCTCTAAGCGTTAAGCATTTTTCATTTAAATTCTTCTTTGACCTATGAGGATGCAGAAGTGCAGTTTTCAATTACCAAATTAAACTTTCTACATGTGCATGAGTTTCTACTTGTACTTCAGATCAGAAAGACAGTAGCTTAATGGTTAAAAGTCTTGGGCTTTAAGATCTAATATTCTTGGATTCAAATCATAGCTCATTCATTCATTCCAGTACTCATTAAATAGGCACTATTCTTGGGCTAAGGATATATCACTAAACAGAAATCCATGCCCACATAGATGTTATATGCTGGTATGGTGCCTACCATTTAGTAGACTCCGCTACTTACTAGTTGTGTGAACTTGAAAAAGTCACTCAGTTTCTCCTCGTAGATCTTTTTTTTTTTTTTTTTTAAATCTGTCAATGAGAATAATCATCATTCTATTCCAGGGAGCTCTTGGGAGGATTTAATGAGATAAAGTGCTTACCACAGTGATTAGAACGATGAACATTTCAGTAAATGCTTGCTATTACCATTTGGACAGCTTTCTCAGCCATTCCTAACCCAGCCTCAGCCCTGCCCTTCCTGGCACACAGAGCTAGAGGCTTCTTTTGTCTTCCACCAGAGCCTATTGTACTGATCTCTAGCAGAATACTCAGGCAAAATATTGTAATCATAAATTGTCTACATCTCCCACTAGATTGCCAATTCCTTAAAGACAGGGAATATATCATAAGTATTACTTTTTTTTTTTTTTTTTTACCTCAGCACCTACCACAATGCCTGGCAAGTGTTAAATGCCAAATAAATGTGTTTGTAATGACTAAAGGAAGGATTGGTATAGATTTAGGAAATGGAAAGTAATTGTATGTTGCTGAGATATTTATTCATTCATTTAGTCAAAAAATATTTATTGGGCACCGATTACCTGCCAACCACTTTCAAGGTACTATATAGGTTGAAACAAAATAGACAAAATTTTGTTATGGTACTTAAATCTTAGAAAAGAGAAATATACATCAGATATGGTTGAGAGATTGCAGAAAAATAAAACCGACTAAAGAAGTAAATAGTGATGTGTGAAGGCTGCTGTTTTATATGTGATGGCCAAGGAAAGTCTGTCTGATAACGTGTCATCTTAGTAGAGACCTGAAAGAAGTGAGGGGGCAAATCGGAGGGACATGTGGAGGAAATACCCAAGTTGAAGAACCAATAAGTGCTCCAGCTCTTTAATCATATTCAAGGACAGCAAGCAGGCCAGTATGGCTGCAGCAGAAGCACTGAGAGGGAGAATGGTAGGAGATAAAGTCAGAGTGGTGGGCAGATAGAGTGAAGATGTAGAGAGTGCAAGGCCTTCCAGACCATGGCTGTGACTCTAAATGAGATGAGATTCCACTGAAGGGCTCTGAATGGAGAACTATCTGTAATATACTCTGAGTTACATTTTACGAGAATCACTCTGGCTGCGCCATGGAGGTCAGACTGTAGGAGTACAAGGGTAGTGGCAGAGACCACTTAGGACGGTACTGCAACACTCCAGGCTACAGTAGTGGTTTGGATCAGAGACACAGCAGGTGGAAATTATGATTCTGGGTATTTTTCAAACAGAGAGCTGATAGATTTTGTTAAATTGTGTGTGGGTTGTTAAAGAATCAAGGATGACCCCAAAGTTTTTGGCTGAACTACTAAAAAAATTGAATTGCCATTTGGTTAGAAGTAGATTAGTGAAGAAGCAGCAAGTTTGTGTATGTATTGGGAAGGGGGTGGTTGGTAGTCGGAGTATCAGGAGGCCAATTCTAGAGCTGTTAGATGTGAATGTCTATTACACATCCAGATGGAAATGTTGACCAGGTATATGGATATATACATCAGAATGTCAGTGTTGAGATCAGAATCTCTTATGCTATCAACTTGTGCATAAGTTTCCGTTATGCACAGAACCAAATGTTTTAATAATGCCACATATGTTTTAACAAATGCCTATGAACCAATTGATTCTGGAGACTCTTCTTTGTATAGGATTTATATTTTCAGATAGATTTCAGCTGGTATTTTTTTAAGGAGGGCAACAGTCATATTACCATAATAACTGATGTCATCATAATTGAATAATGAGCTTAGGCATACGCTTTGAAAAAACACCTACATACATTAAATAAAATTGAATTCAAATGAATATCTTTTGGAAAGAACTACTGAATTCACAAATGTGCATAAAAAGTTCTTAAGCTTAATCTAAGTAATCATATAAAAAGAAAAATACTATTATGAATAAAACCCTGGATACCAGAGTGGACAATTGAGTCTAACATATTCCCAGGGAAGTATTTGAAGTAAACTAACACAAAGAAATCTTGCCTTGAAAATCTTTAGAATCTTTTACTTAAACCTTTACTAAAGAGTGAAATAAAATGTTAAGAAACTTTCTAAATGGTTCTGAAAGTAATGGTCCAGCCAGGGAAATAAGGTCTCTAGCCTCTGTCGTGGGGCTTTCAGAATAGACTAGATAACCTTAGAATTAAATGCAGATTCACGTTTTTCTGAACAGTATCTCCTTGTATTGACAAGTGTTTCCCCAATAATTTGTTTTACAGTAAATGTTTCAGATAAAGAACCCAATTATTAACCTATTCACACTGTTTCAGTTTGCAGATAACCACTTGCCCAGCATAAAAATCTTTATATTGTTCTCAGAAATTGATTCTTGACTCTACACAACAAATCCTTCGTCTTTATTGTTTTGACCCCATTACAAATGCTTTCCACTATGATGGACTTATATTCTCCTCTTCTCCTCTAGCACTTACTTTCTTTTTTCCCCAGGAGTCCAAGTCTTGGCAACCTTTGAAAAAATCCCATTAGAGAGAGCTTTCAGGAGACCATATGCTAATTTTACCAGCAACAACTTCACATCCCAGTACTGGAATGCGGTCAGCCACCGGGCCCCTGCCATCATCTATGACTGCTATCTGCGGCTCACGGGAAGGAAGCCCAGGTGAGAAGCTGAGTCAATGGCTTTGAAAGTGTCACTGCCCCAAAATCTTCAGTGCTTCCTTCAGCAGAGGATTAAAGGAGACAACTGAATCTTACCCATATATACAGATTGAACACACCTAATCTGAACATCTGAAATCTGAAATTCTCCAAAATCCAAAAATGTTTTGAGTGCTGATATGATGCCACAAGTGGAAAATTCCACACACTGTACCTCATGTGATGGGTCACAGTCAAAAAAATGTTCAAAACTGTTTCATGCATAAATTATTTAAAATATTACATAAGATTACCTTCAGGCTATGTGTATATGGCTAAGTATGTATGAAACAGAAATGAATTTTGTGTTTAGACATGGGTCCCATCCCCAAGATATCTCATTACATATATGCAAATATCCCAAAATCTGAAAACAATCAAAACCCAAAACACTTCTGGCCCAAGCATTTCAGATAAAGGATACTCGACCTGTATAAGTTTTCAACAAACAAAGCAGTCATAGAGAGAAGTCACAAAAGACATTAAAATTGTTCCAGCACAATAAAGGAAGGTAAATGTTAAAGAGCTTGATGAATTCAGCAAGTAATCATTCATGCAAAAAGAAAAGCAACTGAGACTCTGTCACTAGGGTTTTCTGAATAGGTAGATAATCTTAAATCTACAATAATGATGACAACCTCACTTAGAGTTTACTGTGGCACTCGTGGGACTAAGGCTGATGTATGATGATCCCACTTTAATTGTCACAGTTACCCAAGAAGAGATCCTCATCATCCCAATTTTACAAAAGGGGAAACAGAAGCTAAGGAAAGAATCTGAATTAGTCTCAAAGAAAGTGACAGGAAGGATGTGGAGAAAGCTGAGTCTCAAAGTCAGTATTCGGAACCAGATTTACTGCCACCTAGAGATGAGTGAAGAAATTAGAGGGAACACAGTGTGCTGATGCTAAGGCAGCTGTCACCACCTAGCTGTGTGACATAGGACATAGCCTTTATCTGTCTCGCTCAGATACTATTGTGTCAGAGTCATCATTATTATAATTGCCTAAGGCAATTCTTGTGATCAAGAATCAGAAGCATGAACAGTACTGCCTTCTGTGCTAGCCCCTTTGTAAGGGAGGAAGTCTTCTTCAGCGTGTGTGTCTTCTTTATTAGCAGTGCAAATGGCTAAAACTTAGCCAATGTAGAGTGAATGTAAATTGTTAGAGACCTCATTTGGAGCTCAGAACTCAGTTCTTGAGCAAGGTGAAAAGGAAACATTGTGATTATGGGGAAAATATTTGTATGGGGCTCGTTCAATAAAGCTAGGAAAAGAAGAAAACCCAAATATTGTAAGCAGAAATGCTAAAGGTTTTAAAATATGTCAGGATTGGAAGAGAGCCTGCATAAAGAACAAAGTTCAGTTAGGAAAAAAGAGAAACACAGAAGGAAGAGACACAATAAAAATCTGTATGTATCTTGTGAGAAGTCAAACAGTAATATTTGTGGGAAATTGGTTGGTTTGTTGTGTGGTATGTATTTTAGCAATAATCTTCATGGCAGAAAAAGTTGAAATCCTTCTAGACCCTTTCCTTCTCCAGGTGTGCTTGTGTATACTCTTCTACGCTTTTACATCCAT